GCAGTATTTGCCTTCTGGTTTATAAGGAAGGGTTTGATAAGATCACAATTTTAAAGGTTGTTTTTTTTTCCTGCAACTGTGAGAGCTGCAAGCATGTGTGAGAGGTAATGCCTCCAAGCTGAAGCTTTTAGAAACACCAACACTACAGCAATTGGCAAATACGGAGTGCCCGGTGCATATTTACCAAGATAATCCTCTTTTTTTTCCCCTTAGGTTGTCTAAGTCTTAATAATTTCTTTAGGGATGCTTGAAACATCCCAGTGTTTTAGCTCATTAACGAGAATAGTCTGTTCCATTTTTAATCAGTCCAAAATCTTTGCTGCAAAAGTTATTGCTGTAACATTGTTTATATTCACTCTCACCACATAATGAGTGTGGGTTTTATGCCAGCCACTCTTCAAGGGCAAAGCTTGTTAGGCAACATTGTAGTAGGAGTGGGAGAGGTTGGTAACCAAATCCTATCAGCTGCACTGGGATGAGTATGGGTTGGGAAAGAAGAGCGTGAGTACGTAGTACTCCTTCTGGGCCTCAGTTTCCCCCTCTTTATGGTCACTATGACCTCAGAGAGGGAAGCGAGGGACTGAGTTTCACAGAACAGTTCATTCTGGTGCTACAAGTCCAAATAGTAAGACTCAGATGCAGTGGATCAAGAAAGGAACCACAATGCTAAAGACTTGGGTGTCTCCAGAAAAAATGGTGCAAAAAAGTGTCCAATCCTTTTTTTAAGGTAATGGCTATTTTTAAAATAGTGACTCTTGTTTCACACACAGGAGTGGGTCAGCAAAGTAGTTACTGGATAGGGACATTGCCATGCAGTTTGTGATTTGCTCTGGGTCAGGGAGGGTTATTTTGTTTTTGTTTTTAAAATCCCAAAATGTGTGGACCAGCAAGTAGCCAGTAGTCCCATATCTTCCCCCAGTAGTAGCTGCATACTGAATGGAGTGGGGGTGGAGGGGTCCTTATTCCCATTTGTGTTGCACTCAATGCAAAGCCTGGTTACTTAGATTTAGTGTGTGCCTTGGATTTAGCCCTAACAAATTAGGAAAGATAAAACTATCTAAGCCTGTCATTTTTGTCAATAATTGAGTGTGTATTTAGTCTGTGTTAAATCAGTTCTGTGAGCGGAAGGCATCTGGAAAGCTGTCATCAGTCTTTCCTCTTGGGCTTTCTCCATGCTGTATAAATCAGTGAATAATTAAAAGATTGCCTTATTGCAGCTGTAGCTGGGTGGAATTGGGAATCTCTAGTAAATTGATGTCTTTTAAATTTGCATAAAAATCTAGTCATTAAATCCTATACTAGTGACTTTTTGAAGCAGCTAATTATAGCTTTGTGATTTTTATAATGAAAATCATATTGCTGAAATCTGGAAGGAATCTTTTTTTTCAATTTAGATGCATGTTCCAGTAAGCTACCTTATGCAAACTTCTTTTCTTTTTTTTTCCTATGCATAAGAAACCTGCAGCAGCTCCTCCAAAAATTCTCTTACTGAACACCTGAAATTTGTTAAAACATTTCAGATGTTTCATATATTCATATTAGGATCTCAGGCTATTTTTTCATATTGTAAATGTAATGTATTGGGGAATGGAGTTAAACTCTTAATATACTGGATGTATGGAGATGTAAGACAACCTTTTCATCCACATGAAGAGTAAAAAGTATTATTGTTTTTATAATATCACAGAATTTAAGCCAGAAAGGACCACAAGCTCATCTAGTCGCAGGCCACTATGTGTCAACTATTTACCCTATACAGACCCAAACAACTTAATATTTGACTAAATAATCTTCCAGAAGAGCATCTGATTTTCAGATAAGACACAGGGAGAGAG